AAAAATTAGCATTTCTTTTAAGTCTTTAAGTTTTATTTAAATTTTTCATTAATCTACATACTTTTGAGAATACTCCCTCTGTTTTGGTTGTTGGAAAACTGAATTTATGCCATATATTTTCAATTTCAGTGGTAACTAATCTGTAACATTTATGAGCAGAACTTGATCCTTTGCCTTTAGCATCTTCATTTCTGCGAACATAATAGCAATATTTTACAACACCTCTTTTTGTAGGAATCATTGCAGTTGAAAATTTAGAACCTTGTCCAAATGTTAAGTTGTCAGTTTTACTGCAAGTATGAAATGTTGCCATGATACAATGTGTTGCTTTTTATTAGTTATATTTAATTTTTAATTACTGAAAAATAAAAAGTAGACAAATATATACACAAACACTAAATATACAATGTATAGAGACTAAAATGCAACAAATAAAATAAACTAAAAAGTTTCATAGTAGCATAGCAAAAATTTTTATGCTGACATGATATCATATTTTAAAACTTTATTTAAGGCATAAAGTTAATAATTCTGAAATTGAGCAACAATTTTTTTTTGCTCAAAGTTTTTTTGTTAAAAGAATGTATACTCCAAAACAAAACATAAAAAAATTTTTTTTTTGTGGAAAAATTAGAGTGTGTGGTGCAACCCCTAAGGGTTAAAAAAAAAAAATAGTCTGCATAGTTTATTATACCAATTCAAAAACTTTACATAGTGCTGCTTGTCAAAATTTAAAAAAAAGTATGGTTTCCACCCGCCCTAATATATATATATATATATATATATATATATATATATATATATATATATATATATATATATATATATATATATATATATATATATATATAATATAGTGTAATATAATATAATAATTAAGTACATAGGATAATCATTAATTGTTGAAATTAAAACTTAAAAGTTGAAATAAATTAGTTTTAATTAAATAAAGGTTATATTTCATAGCTTTTAATGTTATATTTCATAGCTTCATTGATAGTTATTATTGTTATAATAATAATAACTAGCTGACGTGACCCATAAAATACAGGTCTTAGTAAATACCACACCGACTTTTTATATACTTATTCCTTACTTCAATATATTTTAATAAGAAGTAGAAAAATAATTAAATACATATATAAAAACTATACTTATTGTTTACTTTTTAAAGCTATAAAATAAATTTTCTATTTTATTTAACTTCTAAAAACTTTTAACGTTTCGGTAAGCATTGCACAAATTGCTATTTATCAACAAATTGGATATCAGTGCCAGTCTAATTAATATTTAGAATATCCGTTTGAAATGTTTTAATTAAATACCATTGGTATGGAAAGTTTCAAAAAACATAAGATGACATGAATATGTAGAATAACAGACTTACCATGACCTGTATAATTATTACTGAATATTAATATATTACTGGTCATGGTAAGTCCATTCCACACCTACTTATTTAATAATTTCGCTTTATTTCAATAATTTTTAAAAGAGCAAAATATAAAAATCTTTGTTGAGTTTACGATTAACTTTCAATACTTTACAACTTCTGTAAATTTTTATATGTATATATATATATATACATGAAGAAAACATTCTTTACACAAAAAATCTTAAAAATTTAATGAAAGTTACCAGTACTTAGGTAAGTAACACTTTGTATACTTACCTTTATTTTAAAAAAAAACAAATTTAATTAAACATATTTAATGAAGGAAATAGGAACTTATAAATTTTTAAATGGATAGGAGCTATTAATAAATAGTAAGCCCGTTTTTTAACAAAATTTATTTATCATCAAAAGCAAATTGCTAACAAAAAAGGATCAGAGTATATATCTTTTCAACAAAATTTACTTAAAAAGCAACAGTATATAAATATTTAATGAAGTATATATATTTTCAATAAAATTAACTTAAAATTATATAAAAAAAAATATAGATATTAAAAAACTTTATATCTTTTTGACATTTCTTTTAAACACATTTTTTCAACAAAATTTTTTTAACACATTTTATGATTACACTAACTACGAACAGATTTAATTTATGTGTTTCATCATGGCAGTTCACCACTTTACTGACACAGACAACTTTCTTGCTCTCAACAAAGTCTAAATAAATTTATACATTTATACATAAATTTATTTAATTAAATTTATTATTGCACTGTTCTTTAAGAACATATATATAACATTAAAATATTAATATGGAGAAAACATTCTCTATACAAAAAATCATAAAATTATAATGAAAGTTACTAAAACTTATGTTTTAACACGTTTTATACTTACCTTCATATATAAAAAAAAATTTAAGTTAAACATATTTAAGGAAGAAAATCAAAACTTAGTAATGTTTTAATGGGGAGGAGCTATTAGTAAAAAGGAAGCCTGTTTTTTAACAAAATTTATTTATTGTCAAAAGCATAAATTGTTAACAAAAAAAAACAGAGCATAACAACATTTAAACACATTTTTTCAACAATATTTTTTCAACACATTTTAGGAATACACTAATTACAAACAAATTTAATTTATTTGTTTCATCATGACAGTACACCACTCTACTGGTAAGGACAACATTTTTGCTCTCAACAAAGCTAAGTCACATTAAAGCTAGTGATTTCGCCGGTTATCCGGTTTTGCGGTTAACCGGATTTTGTTCGAATATCAAATATCTATTTTCGAATAATAAAAGCCGACTTAAAAGTTTTACAAAATTTTATAGAAAGTAACATCGTTATTATGACGATTTTTGTTTGACAAATGTTAATTTATCAAAGATTATAATATATTTCTTTTATTAATTTAAATGTTAGTTTAATCAGTTTTGTTTGATAATATATTCTTAAAACAATTTACAATAGAAATCTCAAAGATTTGTTTATTACTTTTACAACTCAAGCAATACATTTTTAAGAAAGTTTCTTCAAAATATTCTAGAACTCTAATTCACTTATTCAGCGTATTTTTTGAACCAATAGAATTTGTTTAATCCGCATAACAATAAGTTTTTAAAATATACACTAAAAAATTTATTTAATTTACATAACATCTCATTTTTCCAAATCAAATGTTTTTATATGAGAGAATGATTTTAAAACATCCGCTGATATTAAAAAATAATTATGTAATTTAAACTGATATTAAAACATTTAAAACATCATGATATTAAAACATTTAAAACATGATATTAAAACATTTGAAACATCGCTGATATTAAAACATTTAAAACATCCGGTGATATTAAAACATTTGTACATTATTCCTACCTTTTTTAATTATATAACTAAAAAGGTATATTATATTATAATATAAAAAATATATCTTTTTCCATGTTGTGTTATAAATATATAATATAGAACTGTATTCACTAACTGTCTTGAAAATGTACACTTTAACATTAATTTTTAAAAAATTAGTTTAAAACGCTACGTTCGTTGAAATTTAGAAGATCCTGTATTCAGAAAGCGTCACTAATTTACCGAATAGTCGGTTAACTGCAAATTGATGAGAACTGTTATCCGGTTTTTGAAACGGATAACCGACGAAATCACTAATTATAGCAAAGTACACCACTTGGCAGGTAAGGTCAACAACCTTGCTATAAACTAAGCCAAGTCACAACAATTTGAAATCATACAAATAACATAATAACCACTTACTAACTATAAACACATAACATTATGACAAATCACAAACATAGAAACACTTCATATATAAAAAATATTTACACACTTACAAAATATAAACCCATATAACCTTAACACATATAAACACATAATAAATAACACATAAATATAACTAAATATATAAATTAAGAAAAATATATAAATTAGAAACATTTATAAAATATAACCATATTTGTATAATGACATACCTTGTAATAAATGTTTAGCAACTTTGAAAAAACTAACGATCAAACGACCTGGTTTTTTATATTTATATTTCTTTAAAATCAGTTATTAAGCGATATTGTTCTTTAACATACAACAGAGTTGACCGTGTGAGATGCAAGGGTTTTGGAGATAAACACTTAATTTATCAAGAGTTTGACCTTTTGAAAAGATCATTGTTTTCTAGAGTCATCAAAAGGGCTTGGTCAAGACTTGTGTATTTGGATTTTACATTTGGGTTTATACAGGTCATATAGTTGTGAACTTGGAGAGTGTATATGTAAAAAACAAACAACAGTTTTAATTTTTAAAAATAAAAAAATAACAGATTAATATACTTTAAATACAATTGACAAAGGACTTGAATTGTGTCAGTATTAAAATACATGAATTAAATAAATTAACTGACGTTAAAAGTTGCTATACTCATTTAAAAATAACATAAATTTTATTTACTACAGAAGTCATCAAATTAAAAATTTACTAATTAAGCTGATGAAGCAAAGTTTTCGATATAATTACTGATTAAGCAGATATTAACAGATTATAAAGATTTTAAAAATACCTCATCGTGTGGTCAAAAATTTAAAGAGAAATATTCAAAGGCTAATTATGGTAAAAACTCCGTATCAAAGGCACATGAATCGGTAACAACAGCAGCGTTAAGTTAAATATTAATTATAAGCGATAGTTCTAATAATGATATTGATAACGAATATATGAAATATTTTTTTAAATTTCTGAAAAATGTTTAAATAATTTTAAGTTAAATAAAATAACATTATCTTTATTTTTATATTTATTATTACATTTCATTATCAAAAAAAAAATTAATTATATATATTATTTTTTTTATTAAAATTTTTTTTTTTTTCCCAATGAGGACAAACACGAAAAATCTAGTTTCCAGTTTTCTGAATTCCAGTTTTCTATCAGTTTTATGTTGAAATTTATTTAAAAAGAAAAATGCTAATAATAACACAAGACAAACACTTACCAATCTCATCTAACTTTAAGAAAGTTTTGAGGAAGATTTGACTGAAATCCCAGAGCAAATTTAAGGTTATTAAAAACTAAAATAGTTAATTAATTAATTTTAGCTTGGCAAGCTTTACTACGATCTTGAGGATTACATGAAACTTTCCAGAATAATAAAAGAATTAAGAAAAGCCTGTGAAGTAATTGTCTTTTTTATGTATCTTTTTTATATATTTTTTTAAATTGTTTTTTATTATATTTAATTTTATTTCTAATTTTTTATAATAATTTTTATTTATTTTATAACAATTTTTTTTTTGAACTTAGACTGATGATGGTGAAGAAGATTTAAAAAAAGGAACTCAACTTCTGGAAATCTATGCTCTTGAAATTCAAATGTACACAGCCCAGGTGATGATGTTGACATTTATAATTGCATTAATGATGTGATGATAATGATATCACTTATTATTATTATTTTTATTGGTTTTTAGAAAAACAACAAGAAGTTAAAGGTTATTTAACTTAAATATTTATCTTTCCCTTTTAAATTATTTTTTGTCTTCATTTTATAATTTTGAATAGTATTTTATGTTTAATTCTAGACTCTATATGAACAATCATTGCATGTTAAGTCTGCAATTCCACATCCAGTCATCATGGGTGTTATTCGAGGTAAGTTAGTGTTAATTTTTTATTTTCTATATTATAGGCTGAAATACATGGCTGAACAAGACAGACTTAAAAATAATTAACTCAGCTGAATCTAATGTATTATTTGGATACTGCTGCATGATGGATGCTCCCATCTGTTATTTTGTATCACACACAGTTCTTTTTCAATAGGATTTTAATTGTGTTTTAAAATGGAGAAACATTTTTAAATAAAAAAAAGTAAGAAATCAGTTTATATGTGCTTTTATTTAATTAAAGATGTTTTATATAATTAAAAAGCTGTTATTGTTTTTCACTCACCAAGTTGTCTTAAATGTGGTGTTGATTGTCAAAAACCAAACCTATAGATTTTCGGGAATCCAAGATCCCAGAAAAATCATTCAAAACATACATACATAACAAACATACAATAACAGCTCAGATTAGATCTTTAACATTAATGGATACATCAGTAAAAACAATGTAGTTAACATTATTAACAGACAATGTTAACCACATTGTAATTAATAGGTAAAAAAATCTATTCAAAGAGAATGTTTTGAAGTTAATAGGAGAGAATGTTCCAATAGCTGATTTGTTGGGTTTTACCTAAAAGTTGACCCAGCCCAAAAACCATAAAACCAACTAATGTAATTATTTTACCAAGTTCAAAAGTATTAAGAATATTTGTTGTTTAAAATTTTTTTTTAAAACAAAAAAAAAGTAAAGCTACTTGCTGTTACAAAGAGAGATCAAATGCATATGCATAAAACAGTGGTGTCAGAAGGTTGGTTTGATGCGCAGGCATTATGAAGCTAACAATTTCACTGATCGCATTGTGGCTAATTCAAATGAGTGCTGCAGTTTTACATGAAACAGACAAACATGCGTTGTCTAGCAGAAATGTGTTATCTGTCACAAGTCTAGTATAAATTTTTAGGTAAAAATATTTGGCTTTTGAGCAGCTCTTTCTGACACATGGTTTTTATTAAGGTTTTTCAAATTACCTTGTCAATACTTAACATTTCCTGATGCACAAAGTTACTTAGTGTGAACGCTATTCTCCATTTGATCTTTGTTGCACTCTGCACAAATTTTCTTTTTTTGTTGGTGAGCAATTAAAATGATGTTTTGTACAATTAAAATGATGTTTTATAAAATTCACACACATATTGGTTTCAATAATTATCTATTTGCTTCTTGGATAATGCAATAAAAATTGTAATATTTTATTATATAGATGCAATTTTTTTTTTACTAACTACTGCCATTTACATATTTGAAAATCTATAAATCTTTTTATCCAATAATAAATCCTTAAATTTTTTTAACTAATGAAAAGATAAACAAATTTATGCCTTTTGCAAATGCAAATGCAAATGCAAAAAAAACTTTTAGGTTGGATCCACATTTTCAGACATAACCAATTTATTGCTAAATATTTTTCCACTATATTATATCTTTATTTTGTCAAACGATTTTTATAAACAGGGTTGTTACAATATGTCTGGCAGATTTGTTGACATATTTTCAGACATGTTTTCTGCTGACATAAAATATTTCCCACATATTTTTTATCAATAATGACATAACTCAGTGTCTGAATTATTTTAGTCAGCAGAAATCAATTCAGCCAAAATTATGTCAAAATTCATCTATATAAAACCTTATAACTCTTATGTACCGATATTTTGTCTTATACCAATTTATATTACTTAATAAATATCATTTTGTAATTAGTTGTGTGGTGAAATACTTTAGGGATTTAAAAAAATTTGTGAAATTTGATTTTTACTAATAGTCATGTAAACTGTGAACAGTTAATAACTTTTCAAAAGGGCCTGGTCAAGACTTGTGTATTTGGATTTTACATTTGGATTTGATTTAACTATATGACCTGTTAATACAGGTCATATAGTTGTAAACTTGGAGAGGTGTATATATAAAAACCAAACAACAAATAATGTTTTTCATTTAGTTTATTATTTTCTAGAATGTGGAGGAAAAATGCATCTTCGTGAAGAAGAGTATGAAAATGCAGCCACAGATTTTTTTGAAGTACATAGGTTTAATTTATGTTTAAGAAAAATCACATTTTTGTTCAACTTAATTGAATATTAATCTTTCTTCATATTCTTCTTCATATTTTTTTTTCATTTTGTTATTCTTCTTTAGGCTTTCAAAAATTACGATGAATCAGGAAGTCCAAGGCATGTTGTTTTTTTTTTCTCATGTTATTTTGCTATCTTTTTTACCTGTACATAATTTTCCTTTTTTTAGACGAATTACATGCTTGAAATATCTTGTTTTGGCATATATGCTTATGAAGTCTGATATTAACCCATTTGATTCTCAAGAGGTTGGTTTTTATTAAATATATATATATATATATATATATATATATATATATATATATATATATATATATATATATATATATATATATATATATGTATATATATATATATATATATATATACACGACTATTTAAATGACATCTACGATGGATTCAAATTGATGTTATCAAAAAATAAGTAAAAAATTAATAGCAAAAAGCACTGCAACTTTAACTCATAGCAAATCCACTCAAGAGAAACAAATTCCAATTATTACTATGTCAGATCTTAAGTTAAGCTCAAGAGAAATAGGTAAGCAAATTTGAGTTGATCATTCTTGTGTTGTTTGTCTTTTAAAACGATGCGGAGAGACGGTTTTTTATCTAAATGCTAAAAAAACTGGTCAATGAAAAACATTTGCATTCAGTTTCTCAAGTCAGAAAGCTCTTAGCCAACAAAGGTTACAACTGGCATGCAGCAGTCAAAAAATCAAGGTTCACTTAAAAGCATTTTGGGTCTTGTTTAGTTTTCGCTAAAGACAAAATTTAAAAACTATTAATTTAGTGGTATCAATTATTCTTTGGTGATGAAATATCTTATAAATTAAAATAAAATGTTTAATAAAATATTAAAATATATATAGGTGGTGCTTAGGATAATAATAAAATAATTATTATTATTTTTTTAAATCTTTGCTTTCAACAAGGCTGCATGCAACCACTAATTAGAGTTATGAGTTACTGGATATATAGTACTTGTAGAAAAAAAAAAGAGAAGCAACATTGCGACAGTGTGATAATAGTAAGAGGTTGGCTGCACGAGCAGGTGCAACTATGTTTACAATGTGTTTTTGCACCTTGTCTAAAAGAAAAAGGGCATCATTAGAAGATTCGCCCAAGATATGGCAACATTCCTTACAAGGCTGGATTTGAGATTTATAGAGATAGAGAATAGAATCCAGAGTAAGAAAGTGTTGAGCTCAATAAAGAGATGCAACCTTAGCAGATGCTAATTTTGCAACGGATTTGATATATGGTTTCTAAGAAAGATTGGAAGTAAGAGTTAGTCCTAGAAGATGAAGGGTAGATGACTCATTGAATACATTATCGTTCATAAATATAGGAAGATATAAATTATTGTGATAACGATTGGCTGAAAAAAATTGAGTTTTATCTGAATTAAAGTTCACCAGCCACTGTGAGCCCCATGCTGTAGCAGAAGTGAGATCCTTTTCAAGCTCAAATGTCTCCTCCAAACAATCAGAGAGTGTTGGCTTCTTATCATGACAAGAATAAATGGTAGTATCATCATCGAACAATGCTACCTTAGATGTGAGAATATATAGAAGGTCGTTAATGTAAATTAAAAAGAGTATAGGGCTAAGAGTTAAACCATGAGGAACCACTGAAGTTACAAAATATGAAGAAGAGTGCTGTCCATGGACTACTACGATTGGAAAGGATTCAATTATCTTTTAAATGTTACTAGATTCACCCTAAGAAGAAAACTTATGGAGAAGACCAGCATGCTAAACTTTATCAAACGCTTTAGAAATATCAAGAGCAATGACCTTAACCTCTCCACCTTTATCTAATGCGCGATAAAACCTATTGGTTATTACTGTTTGCAAGTCAGCTGTAGAACAAGAAGATCAAAGTTCATATTGATGATCAGAAAATAAGTTATTAGATTCAAGATGAGAGGTTAAGTGTTTGTTAATTAAAGATTCAAAAACCTTACTTATGATAGGAAGAACTCTAATGGGACGATAGTTAGACAAATCAGATTGCTCTCCAGAATTTTAACAGGTGCCGCTTTCCAGCAAGCTGGAAAGCATGACTCTGATAAGCACTTGTTGAATAGTTTTGAAAGTATAGTTGACACTTCTGCAAGACAATAACAGGTATGTTGTCCGGGCCACAAACTGTAGAAGAGTCTAAGCAGGAAATCACTTAAGATACAGAAGCTGGAGTGATACAAATGTCAAGCAATAGATTGATTTGTTTGACAGCTAAATCAGGTAGAACGCAACTAATGGAAAGAGATGATATTGATGAAAAGTTCTTCAGCTTTGTCTTTAGGTAAGGTGACAATGTCTGAATCATACAAGAGAGGTGGAATAAAAGATTTGCCCTTAATTATTGATACTATTAAAGATTCTCCAGATGTCACGAGAGCCTAATTTTTGTGATGAAATATGAGATTTCATGACCTGAGAATAGCGGGCTTTGGGGTTAAACAAAACCTTTTTAAATTGGTTTCTAGCACTAATAAACAGACATCTGTTTTCTGGAGAATTGTTTTGCTGATACATATGGAAGTAACGGTTTCGATTAGAAATTGCAGCAGTACAATGTGAGAAAAACCATGGAGAAGAGTGAGGCTTGACCTAGAATTGTCGAGAGGGAATAAAAGATTCCACGCCATCCTGAATCTGCAAAGTTATGTAAGAAGCATTTTTATCAGCAGACGAAAGATTTCTAAAAAATTGTGGTCTTTAACGCCTGCAGAGTCACTGACACTAGAGCCAAGCCATTTAATGTGATGAGCATTAAAGTCAACAACAACAATATTGGCTGATGGATAAAGAGTGAGGGCTTGGTCAATATGATCAGAAATAACATCAAACAGAATGCAGTCTTGAGATGAAGTAGAGTAAAATAGAACAAAGAGAAAGGCGATAGAGTGAAGTGGTGCCAAATGAAAGTACATAAAAGAGTAGTCTGTGGATTTAAACCTAGTTTCCCGACAAATGGGTGAATTCTTATGAATGTAAATGCCCAGGCCAAGTATGTGACTATTGGAGTCTTTACGAATTAAAGGAAGATAACCATCAACACTAAGATCACAAGATGAGACAGCTGAACTCAAATTAGTCTCACAAAGAGCAAGTAGTCTGGTGAACTTTGCAAGAGATAAGACTCAACAGAAGAAAAGTTACTTCGAAGACCACGAATATTGGTGAATGATAGGTTTGGTGAATGATAGGTTTAGCGAACTTGGTGATGACTGTGGTTTTTTGTGTTTTATAGTTTTTAGTACTTTATTCATTTTTAAATTTGTTAAAGAACTTGACTCGAAACGTAGATAGTACTCAGTACACTGTTTAATAGCATAATTGCAAATTAATGAGATAATAGCATTATTTTAATAAACATTTTCAATGTTTTTTATTTCAATCATCAATTTGGGCTATGAACAGTTTAGTAGTATTTAGCTGATTTATCAAAAGTTATTTTATTAAGAAAAAGCTTTTATAAATACTTTTTACTTTTTTATTTATTTTAGGCAAAACCATATAAAAATGATGTTGATATTCTTGCCATGACGAATCTAGTAAGGTAAAAAAAAAATTATTTTTAAAAATAATCTTTTAATAAATGTTAATATATAATAATGTCAATATTGGCTTAATTTAATAATGCAAAAAATATAAATTGTTCATGAAATAATTTTTTTTTTTTTTTTTTATGCTGTAATTTAAAATTATTTTTTTCAGTGCATATCAAAATAACGATATTAATGAATTTGAACGAATAGTAAAAACAAATCGGTAATTTTTTCTCTTTTTTTATTGTTTAATTTTGATGTTTTTTTTATAATTATTTTTTTTTTTTTTTTTTTTTTTTTTTTTTTTTTTTTTACTGCTAAATATTAATTATTAGCACTATTTTTATTGTTTATTATTAACACTTTTGTTTGATTTAAATTGTAAACTTAATCTCTTATATTTCGCAGTTAACCTATAAAATATACATGATAATTTCAAAATTATAAAATAAATGAAAAAAACAAAAACATTGTGTGTGTTCTTTATATGCAAATGTATATATTAAAATCATATTTTATAGCAAAAAGCATAGTTTTATTTACAAAAACTGCAAATGTACAATCTTTCTGATATCCAGCACATTTGTTGTGCGCTCACATTTTGCAGCCAAAGCACTTGGACCCAAACACTCATATTCAACAGAGTTTTCATTTTTGATAAGCCAATATAAACCAAAAAATCAATTACAGGTTAGGTTGGCTAATAGATGAATCACTTTTAGGGAGCTCATTTCACTATTATTCTTTTGATTAAAATAATGTATTTATAACCAACTTGTTGCATATAGCAATACCCTGTGTTAAACATTAAATAATCTCATAACGATGTAACAGGTGCTACAAGGCTTATACGTAAGCAATATTTTAATAAATGCTCTGCTTTTTAATTTCGGAATAATTGATAATTTAAAGTTTTTTTTTTACACATGCTTTTAGAGCCAATATAATGGATGATCCCTTCATTCGTGAACATATTGAAGGTTGTATAGTTTTACACATAGTTGTATAATTTTATACATTTTTGTGAAAATTTGTTTTTTTAATTGTTCTATTTTTAGATCTTTTGAGAAACATTCGAACACAAGTTCTTGTTAAGTTGATAAGGTGACTTAATTTTGTTATTAAAAAAATGTTCAGTTTTTAAGATTTTTCTTTTTTTCTATTTTTATTGTAAACGTTGTAGCCATTTTTAGTTGTTGCAGAAAAAAGTTATTTCATATTTTTGTTTGAACAAATTTGTTAAGTCAGAACCAAAGTTAAAACAATTTTTTATAAATTAATTTTTTAGACCATATAAAAGGATACATATTCCTTTTATCTCAAAGGTAATTTTTTTTTTTTTTTTTTTTTTAATGTTGTATGAAATTTAAAATATTGAAAGTTAACCAATTAAACACTAGTAAAGAAATAATAAAAAATAGAAATAAAAAGATAAAATGATCTTGTGCCAAATCAAAAACTTTTTATTTTAGTTCTTTGTTTTTTATGTTCCATATTTGTTTCTTGATATTATTTTAGGAATTAAATGTCGACTCGACTGAAGTTGAGTTTTTAATCGTGCAGTGTATTTTGGATAAGTAAGTATTTTTTTTTACTGTTGCTATATAAAGTTTGACCTGCTTGTTATTAACAGAAAATATTATCATTTTAACAGAAAATAATTTTTTTTTAAACATAATTTAAAACAAGTTCTATGTTTAATTTCACTTGGCTAGTATCATTAACCACTTGCATACTTACTTAACCACTTTTTCTTCTGTCACTATGTATTGCTTGTTGTTTTGAGTGTCCTAGCTTGAGAATTAATTTAATTAATTCAAATTTACTAGTTTGATTAAATGTAATTGCATTGTGAAGTTATATTCGTAATAACAAAAAGGTATTTACAAATTGCTATATTTGTAAATACCTTTTTGTTTTATGTATTACAACTTGTTTCTTGTATTACAAATAGTTATATTCGTAATTACAAGAAGGTATTTACAAATAGCTGAATTAGGAGTCACGTGAGATTGAGTTTTAGTTGATGAAACAAGGGATAGTGGTTTGCTTGGCACCAATTATGGTTATTTTTGTTGAAAGGAGTAAGAAATACAACCTTATGACAATAGGAAAAAAGACTCAAAAAGTATCAAAAAGACTCTGTATGTATTATAAATACATGTCTATTTTTAATGATGCTGCAGATAGGGGCATTAAATATATTCAAGAGTTTATTGCTGATACCAGAATTGAAAATCATTTTCAAAATAACTTTTTTGTAGTTTAGAAGATTAAAAAGAATTTTTATAAGAGTATGGGCCAAAAAAGTGCTATTTTCTGGAAAAAGTTGTGTTTTTTGTTTAAATTTTCACACAAAAAAATCTTTGATTTATTACAAATATTAGTTTTTATATCATACATTTGTAATTTCAGATAAATTAATGTGAATCACCAAGCTTAAATAAAATATTGTTGCCAACATATAAAAATTGTTTATACACATCTTTTTGACTTATTACTTTCAAATGAAGAAAAATGACTTCTATTGATATAAATAAACTTGTATTTATATATGACGAGTAATATCAATATTAAATTTTAAAGTTATAAAGAATAATATTTAGATGATAATACTCACAAGTAATATAATAATTAAATAATTTTTATATCGATTGCATAATAATATGTTTAGAACAATTGAAGGACGAATCGATCAAGTAAATCAATTGTTAGAACTTGAGAAAGCAACGACTGGTATTGCGAGGTATGTTTTATATTAAAACTGTTTTAACAAGGTAGGCACACTTTCCTTAAACTTAAATTACGTTTAAAAAAAGTGCCCAAATTCCAATAAAATTTTTGGTATCAAAGAACACATGAAGACTCTTCATGAAACTATATGTGTACTTTATCCTAATTACAAGAAATGTGCTTTATCCTAATTAAGACTTGAACATTTTTTAAAAACACGTTTACTTTTGAGTAGAGTTGTGAACATTTTTGAAGTTATATGTTCATTATCTTTAATTATCGTTAATTATCAAACCGGTTTATACTTATTACTACTATATATTTTACTTATGCGTTTGTTTGATGTTGTTTTTTTTTTGTTTCTTTATGAAGCTTTTTTTTTTTTTTTAATTTTGAACAGATTTTGTGCTCTTGACAAATGGACATCACAACTAGATGCTCTTCACGCTGCTGTCTGCAATAAAATTTCTTGAATGAATTCCATATAAAAGATTATCTTAAATATATTTTAGTTTTTGCATCCATGATTGCATTGAATAGGATGTGCGTAAAAATATGTATTTAAAAAGTAGTGCAAGAAAAAAATACTTAACATTAAAAGTTATTTTAAAGGGACTTAATGCATTGGTTTAATGTAATATTTTTATGCAAACTCCATTTTACGCTGATTTGCATTGTAAAACGCGGTTTAAATCATTTCTTACTAAACATCAATATAATCGTTATAGAAAGAATTGTAATGTGTTTTTTTTTTATTATTGACTTTAATATAGCAGAACAGATTAAAGAACGAACAAACTGAATATAATGGAAATAATGCAATAAATAAGTGGAATTACATATTATATTGAAGGATTGCCGCTGCGGTTGTTTATCTATTTAAATTGTAGGGTAATTTTTGTCTAAGGGATAATCTAAGTCTAAATAGTACGTTTTCGTCAATTGGACTTACTGCCACGCATGCGTGAATATAAAATATTTTCAAAACGGGTAAAAAAAACATAGTTTGAAAGTTGTCAATTTTTTAAACTTATTTGATAAGTATAACTATTGAAATATAGTTATCGAGTATTAACTTATGGTTTAACTATATAGCTCTATAATAATAATATCTTTTTATTTAGATTATTAAATTTAATTAACAAATATGGACTATGAACGGTAATCAACGGCTCATGACTATCAGTTTTAAAACAACATTTTTGAAAAAAAAAACCTGCTCTTACCCTTTTAATTTGTTCTATATAATACTAAAATACTAGTTGAAATTTTTTTGAGCAAAAAATATTTGAAGGGGTAGCTCAAAACCTTTAAATATTTGAAGGTCCCTAATATTTTGAAAAAAAAAGTTCTTCTAAAGTATGTCAACCTGGTACTCAAAATAAGTAAAGTTATATTAAAAATTCAAAAATGAAAATCATTTTTTCTAAAAATAATCTTTTCAGACAAATGCATAAAAACTATTATTTTTAAGCTGAAAATAAAAAGAGTCAATATTTTCAAGTTTTTTAAGAATAGTTTTTAAACATGTTTTTTATGTAAATTGTTTATTATTTTTGAAGTTTTTATATAATTTTGCTTCTTTAGACCAGGTTGACATACAATAGAAGAATAGATATTTTATATATATATATATATTAATGATATAATAATAATAATACAAATACTCTTGTGCGTTTAAGAGTGCTCAATACTATTAAATAATAGAGCAATATTTATTTATATTAAATGAATAAAAACAACTTTTGATGGAACTCTGAGTTTCTTTTTACTTTTCTTTCTTTCTACTTTTTGACTTATTTTTTATTTTTATTTAAAAAAATTTTTTGTCTGAGAAATTTTCCTACTGACATCCTATATCTTACATCCAAAATTCTTCGTTTCTATGACTTAATTCAGTTCTTAAATTGTTCATTTGTCTGGGATCAACAACATGGTGTCCTTCCTACTATATTTCACAACTACTTTAATAACAGAACAACATGTGGGCATAACCTAAGATCAATCACCTATTACAACTTAACTCTTCCACTAAAACAGACAAGTAAATATGGAATTAATTCCATTACATACCAGTGTATCCTTTCTTAGAACTCCCTTCCGAACACCCTAAAATCTGGTCTCATCCATAGGATCAAGAGTCTGTTCTTAAAGTCACTCCGTCATTTCTACCTAAAAGGTTACGCTTAACTTTACTTTTTACATTTCTTTTTTTCTACCTTTTGACTTATTTTTTATTTTTATTATAGTTTATTATTTTATTATAATTTTATTTTTAATATTTTATTTTAAATTATAATTTTTATTATAATTTACTAATTTTATTATAATTCTTGTTTAAGTATATGTGCATATACAAATGTACATTATATTAATTATGTTATATATATTCAAAAAGTCTGATTTTTTTGGTATAACTAAATAAATTTTTATGCAATTTTACTTTTATTAGTTAATATTATGTTATTTAACTTCCTTTTATAACCTATTTTTTTATGTGGTTTTTTTTTATTACATGTTATTATTATTTTTATCTTATTTAGGTCATTGCGCTTTATTAATGAATCACTATTTGCAATGACCTGTGTTTTTGTAACATCTGTAGCACGAAATATATTGTTGTTGTTGTTATTTGTTCACGGCTTTCGGCAATCATCAGCCATTGTGTATTTCGTCACTTGAAAACCGTTTAAAAATTACAAATTAAAATTACGGTGGAACGAGTTCTGACGTTACAAAACAAAACAAAACAAAAAGACGTCAAAGGTTTTAGTCTCCGGTATCAAATAAGGATAGTAAAAAATTTTTCGAATGCCGGCACTTTGATACTATTTCATATCTTTTATTAAGTAAGTTTTCTCCTTTATATGATAATATGTGAAACTTCTCGCGGAGACAAAGATTACAAACTTTTGATGCTTGATTGTAGGGCTTTCATTGTGCCATTATCTTCCATGTAATCACTTGATTTATATGTTTCGATTTTATCTCCCATATTTCTTTGGAAAGTTCAGTGTCATTTTTATATTTGGGTGCATTGAAAGATTTAAGATAGTTGGCATATCTTAATTTAAATGTGGTTACACTTATACCGAAATAAACTTTATCTTTGCATTGAGGATCTCCAGAACTTACAGTGGTTTGGTATACGATATTGCTAAAAAGACATTGGTTATTTAACGGACAAATATTTTTGTCTATGCAGTTACATTTTTATTATGTTTTTATTTTTATCGCTATGTAAAATTTTGTTATTATTTGCATTTATTAAAGACTTGACATTTGGCATGCAACTATAGCTAACTTTAATATAGTTTCGAATAAAAATTTTATGAAGCTTGTGTCCTACTGGAAAGTGTTGGTCAATTAAAGCTAAAAAGCGATTTCCAATTTTAGATTCAACATTTTTGCTAAACGGGGGGTTGTACCATATAATTTTACGTTTGCAATATCTTTTTTGATTTTTGTTTATTTGCGGTTGGTAGGTGAGTTTTGAATTGTACCCTGATTTACGTAAAGCCTCTTCATACGGAAGAATTGAATCATTGAACACAGTTTCATTTACTGCCATAGTCGATAATCTTAACTCAATAGTGCGAGAGATTTCTTTTATTATATTAGGTGGATGGTTTGACTCTGAATGAACATACATAAGTTGGTTGTTAGGTTTACAATACGGTTGATAAGAACTATCAATCAGGTTCAATGTTACATCAAGATAATTGTCAATTTTAATATTACATTGGATAGAGATAAGAAGGTTGTTATTTTTAAAAATATGCGTAAAATGCTTTTTGATTTTTTCCATTTGTTGGCGGCTTTTGTTTTCAAAAATAGCAAGCCCGTCGTCACGATACAAGCCAAAACTATTTTTATCGTAATGTTGAGAGAGCTGAAACAACATAAAAATACCAACTAGTTCACAAGTTTCATATATATATATATATATATATATATATATATATATATATATATATATATATATATATATATATATATATATATACTATTAAGGTTGCCATATTTGAAAAATACCAGACGCGTACAAGGAATAAATTTGGTATGTATAAATACTATTTCTTTAATGGGGAAGCACTATTTCAAGAGGCGCCAAAATAAAAATAAAGGTACCCAAGGGTAATTTTTATTAGCGTATTTATTCACATTTTTTGATAAGTTTATGCATAAATTTTATAAAATGACTAATTATATTTTTTACATTTTCAAGACGGTTTCGTCTTGCCCTTTTTTGTGTTGTACTAGCAATTTTGAATATATATTCAATTTCAATTTTTTAGTGGCCAAACAAGACAAAGCGCAGGGGAACACGTGCCCCCTCGCTCCCACCCTGCCTATGGGTCTAGTTTAAATGGGTTCTACTAAAAACTCGTTTATATATTTTAAAATAGCATGTGAAGAAACTAAATTATGAAAAAAATATTAAACAACATTTGCATTTTTAAATCACAAATCTTTTTCACAAGAATGAATTGTTTTCAGCAACATGCCATCTGTTTCAATTTTTTCTGCAAATTCTAAGCAGCTATATGTTCTTAAATTAAATTTAACAAACAATATAGCTGGCAAAGTTTTCATTGTAAGTTGGGATTTCGCCCAAACATCACTGGCAATCAAAAACAATCGCTCTACGGAAGCCTTTGTACCTGGAAAACATAAAGTAAAGTAAAATAAATATTGCTAAATGAAATATTGTTATATGAAAGCATGAAATATTATTACCACTAATGCATATAAAGATAACTTCTGGTGAAATACCTGATATTTACTCCATTTACTCAATCTTAATCAGCTAAATTTGCACACCATCTTTCAATCCATCTTAATCAGCTAAATTTGCACACCATCTTTCACGTCAAAATAACGAACCAAAATTGGATACATATTAACGTCCTTGTGGTTTAATGCATCAGAAAGAATTGACACAAATAATGCTTTTAATAAAGTATTTTTTTGAGTTAGTTTCACAATATTTTTTAAACACGTTTACAATTATTGCTTCACATTTTGTACGCGCACAAGCAAATTTTGGATTATAAAATTTCTTAATTAGCTTCGATGTACAATCAGCACTTCTAAAGCTATGGTTGTGTTTGATTGTATGGAATGCAATTGTTCCTTCTTAAATGGCTGATATTTTTTCATTTTGACCAAAGCTCTAACTCTTCATCAACTTTGTGATTTTGTTTGAAGATATAGAAGTATCCAATGCCATTTTGTGTTTAGTAGATTTGCAATGATCTTCAATTGCAGACCGTCCACGACTACTAATGTCAAATAAGCTTTGACAAATAGTACATTTGAGGAGCTCATCTTTGATCTGCGTTAAGAAAGGAAACATTTTCTTTAAATTATCATTAAATGTGTTTAACCTTCTCTTCTTACTATTCATTTTTCTCCTACTTATTCATTTTTTTGAATTTGATGTATAAATAGTTATAAAATCCTTAAATTACTTTTTAATGAACTCTTATTTTTTATGAACTTCTTATTAAAATAAATTGCAAAGCGTTATTTGTTATAAATAGGGACAAAAGACAATGCAAACAAAATTTGCGTAAAACGAACTGGTAACAAAATTT